CTACTAGAGGCAGAAAAATCCAACCAAGTGAAAAATAATTTTAAACAAAATAAACAAGAATGATGAGAGATGAGAAATATCTGCAGCTGTACTTAACCCTTTCACTAACCTCTAAAAGCTGTGCAGAAATCCAGTATAATTAGTTTTTTTGCTGAATTACACTCAAGGATGAAAGAATCTACAAAACTGCAGGCCCAGTTCACCAGTTGTTTTGAAAATAGAATTTTTGTGGCTAAGAGCAAAAAGACTTGATCAAGTAAATGTATGAATCAAGAATCACATAGGCTTCTCAGCATAGGATAAGGATGGAAATTTCCTCTACATAGGAAGCACATCTTTTCAGTCAAGTGAACCCTTGCAATTCTTGCTAGACAGGACCCAGAGTGCAGAGGCTCTTTTCAAGCCCATGTTGATCATTTCTCAGTAACCTGTGATACTGGGAGTCTGGAGACAGGCAGGGCTGAGCAATGCTGAGGCCACGCATGCCTCCTCTAGCCTTACCTTAACTAACACCAGCAACTGTTTGGTGATAAAATCTGAGCTACCATCAGGAGATAAACATGCAGCTAGAGGGCTGTGGATGCTGACTAAGCCCCTATGAATCATGTGAGATACTTAGATCCCCCAACTTGCCTTTGACTCTCAACGTCAGAGGACAGTAGTTAGAAGATACACTTTAGATACAAATTTCAGATTAAGTGCAAAGGACCACTTTTACTGCATTCTAGCAGCGGAAAACACCATGTATGAGAACAAAGCCTACTTACACTTGTACATAAGAGAGACCTAATCTTGACTGAGGTCTTCCAAAACTACAACAATGAAAGCAGAACAAGTTCTGGACACAAGTTAGTATACTTATATGATTACTGAACAGCTTACTATTGAAGATAGTTATCCGTCATTATCTCAAACTGAATATCTCTTTATTAGTTACTGTGTAATATGTGTAAGATGCCACACAGACTCTACTGATATATTAATCAGTACAGATAAAAATCCATCCCTACTGGCTGTTCTTTCAGAAATCAGGTAACAATCAATAAAAGGACACATCCAGATTCAAAGAGGAACAAATACACTGCACCAAAATCTAAGTAAAGAATGCAGCATTAAAACGGAGCCAGCTCAGGTGTTTTTGCAGCAATAATTAGTGGTGACGTCTACCACAGAAAGTGAAACGCCCCCAGAAATGCATGAAACATAAAAACTCCTACTGTACAGAATCTTCTGGGGATAAGTTTCATACATGATTATATGCATTACCCTAAGCCCAAAGTATCGCAACTTACATTTTGCTGTCTTCCTCTTATGTTTTTCCATATTTTCTTTCAGTTTCATACTCTTGACTAGTCTGTGGTTCAGCAAGCTATTCTCTATGTTTGAATATTTTCAAATTCTTTTAAAACTATACCCAAATGCTAAGATATGCCTTTATATACACCTGTATACATATATGCTCCCTCCCCCTCATATGCACACACACACACATGCACAGACGCACAATATTCACTTCTGAAGGTTTCCTTTCCTAGAATCGCTTCCAGTGGCACTGATATAGTACTATTTTCACCACCAGATGGCAGTAACTTCAATTTAATATAAACCAGACGTTGCCACATGTGCAGCAAACAATGGCATTCTTTATATTTGGGTTTTTCTGTAAAAAAGAAATGCTGTTGTTTTTTTTTTCCCTACATATAAAGATATTCCAGATTCCTTCTGTTTAATGAAAAAATTGGAGAATAAAGTTTTCTACTAGCAGTGAAGCTCAATTTTGATCGTCATTCCAGAAGCTTAAAATAATAATAATAAAAAAATACAGATATGCTACTCCAAGTCATTGTTTTCTCCAAGAATAATTTTCAGTACCAAATGAACTACGTTACTTTCAATTGCATAATGAACTTTTACAATATATGCTAGTAATTACAATAACTAAAAGGCTCTACGGAATGGAAGCAAATGGAAAATCTCATTTATATTGGTTTCTCAAATATATAGAGTGAGCAGACTTCTTCTTACGTTAGAAGAAATTCAAAGTATCATCTGCAGCTAAAACAATGCAGATAGCACATACTGTATTACATGTTTCCTTCAATGTGGAATCTAACAACAGCTTCTGCTGGTAAGAGTAGAAGTTTTTTTCCAATTAGGCAGTAACTGTGAAAATAATGCAACCTGGTGGAAAAGGACTACTCTAAAAAACATATGAGGGCTACTCCGAAAGTAATGCCTTCTATTTTATTATGTTGGCTCACAACATTAGAGGAGGATGCATGGAAGCAGAGGTTTAACTTTCCTGCCAATATCCCATTACATTTTGTTGCTGTGTGATAGACGGCAGCAGAGAGGCAGTCTGACAAAATTGCATATGACGTGGAAGTACACATGAAGCAAAGGAGTGTCATTGAATTCCTCCACGTGAAAGAAATTGTGCCCATTTACATTAATTGATGATTGCAGAATATTTATGGATATCAAATAGTGGATGTGAGCACAGTGAGGTGGTGTGTCTCAGCTGTAGTGACAGCAACAGTGAGTCACCTCCAGTTGTACAAGTTTTTTACACTGTTGGTGAAAATACATAGCTAGTGGTGGTGATTATGTTGAAAAAGAGTGCTTTTTAGCTGAGAATTTGCTCTATCAAATATTATTATTGTGCTCTTCATATCCTTTATATTTTCCATGAAAATAAATAGGAGGCATTGCTTTCCAAACTCTATTTTAGTAGTAATTGATTCATAGCTTCCAGACAAACTACAATCTTTATCCTTTATTTTTTTTAAACTTCTCCTTATTTCTGAAAGAAAATTTCCAGAACAAAATGGCATATATTATAAAAAGAGCACTTCACTCTTTTTCTACCAGTATTAGTATTCAGAATGATTATGTGGGTTTATGTTCAGCTCTCTGCTGACTGCAAAGAAAATATCAAAAATGCGCGTTCTATTGAATAAAACAGACTTATCTTCCAATAAATCTATGACCAAATATGCAGCCTGTTTGGACAGCTGTCTTCCACTGTTGTCCATGTACATATTCAGATACTTTTCTCCTTATAAATTTTTATAATTTCTTTTCATTTTATAGGCTGAAAGACAACACAGGAGAAAATTTTCCTCACACATATAAAATAAATAAGTACAGTGATAGGATGAGAAGTTCACAAAGTAAGAAAAATGGCCTGGATTTTATGGACGAATAAATTAGTAAGAAAAAACAAGGAGAGTAAAAGAGAAAATCTGATCTCTGAAAAATCAAAAATGAAAGAAAGGAAATAAAGCCTAACAAAAAAATCCACAGTAAAAGGAGGAAATGTAAGCAGGAGGGAAAGAAACGGAAGCACGAGGAGAAGAAATGATGATTGTAAAGTCTTTGAGAGAGAAAGAAAATGAAGAAAAGACAAACTGTTGACATCAAGTCTGAGTTTAGGAATGACATCACCATGAAGTCCAGTGTTTCTTTTATAGAAAAAGCTAGGCTGCTATCACCTGCTTTATTTTAAATATGCTGGTGACTGTGCTTTTTGAGAGTACAGTGATATGGTTAATTTCTACTAATTCAACATTTAGCAGTCACCCGTACTTGTAGTTCCCACTTATGGCAAATATTCTTGAGTATTTCACTTTTCATTGTTTACCCTTTATGTAAACCAACAACATGCCTCCAATTTATATGGATGTGTACTACATGCCTGGCATCCATAATCAAAATCTTTTGAACTGAAGAATATCTGTAGATACAGCATTATTCAAAAGACCTAAGCTTTTCCTTATGGCTTGTTATTTTGAAATTCCACATTCACATCAGCTGGAAGCATGAGCAGAATCCACCACAAAAGTAAGCAATTTCTAACTTCTGAAGAAAGAAGAAAAATAATGGTAACACAGAACTTTAAGCATGAACCTAGCCAAAATGGTTTTAAGTGGAGAATGCAAATTTGTATGAAAACCACACATTCAAAAGTCATCCTTAGATCAGAAAGACAAACTGAAAGAGATACTGCAGAAGTGTACAGAGGAAGTGCTGGGATCTACAGTTCAATATAAGGTCCTGGCCAGTAAATGGCCAGTAAAGTAAGGGTTACAGAGGACTTCTTTTTGCTCCAGCTGCAGTAACAGTAGTAATCAGAGTAATGTTTACAAATTCTTTCATATTTTAAAAAGGACATGGGAAAAACAGAAAGAGGTGAAGGAAGAGTAATAAAACCTGAAAACTGAGAAGACATTTCAAATCTTTTTCAGCTGACTTGATGTAGCAGTGATCATGGGAAAACAACCACCTTTTATAGATACCAGCAGAAAATAATAGCCCGATATCCAGATAAATTTAAACCATGCAAAAGGCAAAATTTTGACAGTTTGTTTTTGCAATTGATCACTCTTTCTATAATGGATTAAAAAAATATATATTTATTTCCTGCTTCAAAGACAAAATACAAAGGACAAGAAAAACAACTTGTATTTTAATTACATGGTCAGTGGTGCATTTTGATTTTTTAAACACTATGACTCTCCATTTAAGGACTGAGGTAATTAGTCACATCTTTAAGGAAAAATATTTAGAATCACATCAAGACAATGTCAGCCTTCCCACAAGCAAGAAGATAGTCACTAAATATTTCTTAGAAACTTAAGGTGAAATTTTCTTCTGAGTGAAGGAGACCATGACAAAACTCCCATCCAATGTAACGGCACTAAGATGATAGATCCATTTCTGATGCTGCTGGTGCAGAGCTATGTTCCAACTAGAAAAAGCTGCTGAGACCTGCAGTACCATCCTAGTCAGACCAGGTTCATGATTGCCAGCCATCACGGCAGGCCTGACTGTGCCTCCATTGTAGTCCCAACACCCTGCCAGCACTATGACTACATTCAGTGGGAGTCATGTCAGAAGCTATAGGAGTCTCACTCATCTCCATGCCAGGAAAGAAAGCACCTGAATTTGTTGGTGGTGACATGGTAATACAAACTTTAAATAATGATCTCAGGACTTACCAGCAGTTAGTGAAGTGATACAAATGATCCAGCTGCAAAACTGAACTGCAGGTGGACACCTGAAAGAAACACAGCTCATCAGACAAGGATAATGGATTCATGCAATAAATCAGCCTCTTGATTTTTTTAAATAAACTCACTTTCAAAGAAATACATACAGTGATGTAAAGTATATTACTAAATACACTGATAAAAAATATATATATTTCTTTTTCTCAAGACTTGATGACCTTCAGCAAGTTAAAAGTTTTAGGGGAATTGCCAGGTGTCAGGCAATATTGTGACCCAGTACCACAGCACAGCCTGCCTGGCTGTTCCTCCACTTGGCATGGCCAGCCCAACTCCCAGCCTTGCTGCCCCACAGCTGCAGCAAGGCAGGCAGTAGTAGGCTGCAGCCAGAACAATGTCACTGCCCAGCTACTTGCTATCTTGCATAATCCACCATCTTTTATGATGCTATAGACTGGGGCAATCTCTTCCTAGCTGTACATTCAGTCACATGCTGAGCTATGTATGCAAATAAAGTCAAGATTTAATTATTTTTTTGTGACATGAAATACATCAGGACACAAAGATTCATATTCATTTTGCTAAGTAGACAGCTTGTTAACCATATCGCTGCTTATTAATAATGAACTTCTAGGAGCTAGCATAAGCTAGAAGAAGGACAAAGACTGACAGACAAACCTGATGGGACAGGAGCCCTGCAGGTCACCTAGTTCAATCTCCTACTCAGCAGTACCCTGAGCTGTGCTCAGTATCCTAGCAGGTAGCTCAGCACCTGAACCAGATCTGTACTACCCCTGAAGTCCATGGGCTGTCCTCATGAGATTTCCCTCTCCTTGACCACCATCATGATGGATATTTTTTTCCTCTGTCCAATTGCAATTCTTTTTGCTGCAGCCTGTGACCTTCCCTTTGCAAGCTTTCATCAAGCACCTCAGCAAAGACTCCACCTTCATCTTCCCTACAATCCTTGTGTCAGCAGCATGTAGAAGACTCCCCAGCTAATGATCCTTTGCTATTTGTCAGAACTGCTCTTATTAAGGTGGGCTAAAACTGAATACAGCACTGCAATGCCAAGTAGAGAATACACAGAAATGTGACTACAGAAAATACAGGAAAATGGGAATTTAGAAGTACTAAGAATAATTTTAAAATAATTCACTTAACTAAGTTCTAAGTTAATATAATCTATTTTATGAATAAACTTGCAGCAGATGCATTTCTTAGACTGCATTCTAGTACCTGAAAATTTGTCTTTAAACCTGAATTATCTGGAAGTTTATCCATTTTTATTGAGTCGCTCAGGAAATGAAGTAGTAAGGCATTGACATTTCTGAGTTTCCTGAGTCTTGGTTTCAGCCAAAAAGTGGTATAGTAGTAACACTTTCTTCATTCATAGTACATATCTTAATGTTTTGAGATAAATTCTTAAGATTCAGCCGTAGCAAATTTTTAAATATCAATCCACTGTGAGATCACACGGAATGGTAACTGCACAAATCTTTTGAGGTACTGACTGCCTTCTGATTTCCATTTGTTCTTTGTAAAGTTCCATCATTGTTCCAGTGAAGAAGATAATAATCATATGCATTTGTATTTCTTTTACAAATTTTAATTTTCATCTTAACTTTTAAAATATTTTTATTTAACTTTCAAAATAAATATTAAATGAAACCCTTGTTTAGAAGATGTAGCTAAGGAGATTTTACAGGGCTGAATTGCTCACAACCACCTAATCTACTCCCCACTTCTACAGCCTTTTATTTATGAGGTGGGAATTTGATCAAAACTTGGTATCTTATTTTTGTTTGCAAGTATCACAACAATCTCCTTTCCTAAAACACATGTTGCTTCTTCTTGTGATGTAATCTAGAAAATCAACAGTCAAACATTAGTCTAGAAAAATCATTAGCCAAATAATTTTTTTTTTTTTTTTTTTTTTTTTTTTTTTTTTTTTAGGGGAAACAACAGTTTTTAAGAGGAAGTGGTGCTACCTCTGGTTACTGTTGTTTGTGTTTTTAAGGTGTAGTGGAAGAGTCATTTTCAGTATGCAGTACAAAAGTACTGTCAACTCAGAATAAACTCAGTTCACAACACCAGAGACCAGGAGGAACAGAAACAAGGTGAAAGTCTGCAGTGCAAGATGCAATGTTATATCTGTGGTTATTGCTTCTGTTATTTGAAACCTTGTGAGGAAATGAAGGACCCGATTATATTAATGAACTACAAAATAAGCTCTTCAGATGATCCAGCATAGATGATAGATGTCTCTAAATGAGGTATTTGTTTAGGCATGGTCAGTGAAGAGTATTTCTAGGGCACAGCAGATTTCATGCAGTTAAAATCACTAAAAATAGATCAGATTAATCATACTGTAAAGTGTCTCTGATTATAAAAGGGGCCTGTGGTGACTAGCTCAGGGGTGCTTAAAACTAGGTGAGATGAATGTCATCCAAAATGGCTGAGATACCAATCTGATGTGTCCATTAACCGGATTTATTTCATTTTGAAATGTACTGTTAGATCTCAGAAGAAAAAAAAAAAAATAGACAGAAAATTATTAAAATTTCCATGTAAGAAACTGCAACAACTTGGCTAGGAAAACTGCCCAGTACTCAAAGTGCTCAGGTGTAGGAAGCATGTATTTAGCTGGAACAAACATAGAGGAAGGCTATTAAAATGAGTAGTAGGAAGGGAGAGATTATTGTGAGAGAACTAAAAGCTTAATTTTAATAAAGTAGAGCCAGTGGAAAATGTATACTGCGGGGAGAATTAGATCATTACAAGCACAAGTGAAGGAGAAAAATTGTTCAGTCTGAAGAACAGAGATGGCACAAGAATAACCAGCAGAAAATCAGACTGAAAGTTAGATTTTCAGCTATCAAAGCATTAGTGTTTGGAGGAGCCTTCCAATAGGGAGGTCGGACTTGTTTTTCCACACATATCTAATTGTTTTCAAGATGAAAAAATGATACATTTATGGAAGAGAATGTGAAATACCATTGCCTTTAGGACAGGAGGCTCAGCTTCATATGCCACCACTTTGATCCTAGAAGGGATTCTGTATGCATGGCTGCACTTATTGAAATGTCAGAAATCATACTGTAGATATGCCTACACTACCATTATGAATATGTTGAGGTGCTTTTTTAAACTTGCAATTAATACTAATAGAGCTTTCCCCAATAACATTCCCCATCTAAAAATCCTACATATTTGCTGAAAGTAACATTCTGTTTCTTGAGAAACATATTAAGGAAGAGAAGGTACTATATGCAATTTCTTAATAACAAACAGAACAGGGAATTTTTTACTGCATAAACTAAACTTCTTTTGCCAGAATGGTGCTTCTGCTACATGTGTTTTCCCTTAATATTGCATTTATTGTCCTAGAAATGCATATGTAGATTAATACTTTTCCTAATAAATTCTAGCAAACATAACTTTTTGTTCACTGTACAGATGTTTGTACAAATGAGAAAATCATATTTTGTGTATATATAAGAATAAATTCAAGCTACAAAAAAAGGAACGTCATAAACAGATACTGAAGGATGCAGGTAGGGATGTCCCCTCTAACATCACTAATCCAAAAACAGTGGATGCCAAGAGAGTACGAGGGAAATGGACCACAGAAAGCTGAGAGGACCACACACTCTCCCTGAACTGAATGCCCTATTTCCATTGTCATGTCATGAAGACACATGATAGATGGGCCATTAGTCCAACCAACAAGAGCATCTTTTGAATTATCTTATTCCATAAGCATACGTCAGATGGATTGTAATCTCAGTTTGAGAAAACTCAGATAATATTATAGGAAAAAGACCATTTTTTAATCTTGTTTAAAAACCGTGCCCTAAAAATGAGACCATTCGGTAAGAAATAACAAGTGAAGGAATACTGTTAAAACTGTATTGGAACACTGATGTAGACACAAAATCCTAGGTGCTTCTCAGAAATGAATAAGACTTTCTTCAAGGTCTAATTTGGGATTTATTTATTTCTTAATGTCAAACTATCAGCCATCATGTCCCCCATAAAGCAAAAATCTTTCCATTTCTCTGAGAAAACTTTCTTTTGCCAGAACTCCTATAAACAGGTCCTTGACAGTGGCATTTGTTAAGCAAGTATGCTGACCTTTTCAAAGTTACTCTTTTTCTGTATGACTGTTCTTGTTTTGCATTCTGATACATATTATTTCACATATTGCTAACTACAAACTTAGCATGCTTGTCCTACTTTGCAAGGTTCTTTATTCACGAATGTACAAGTATTACAAGGTTTCTTTAGAATGCTTTCATGTCTGTAATGTAAATCCTCCAGAGCTCTTCAACAGATACAAACACGGGAAATTCTCAGCCCAAGCACCTAAACAAAATGTAATAATTCTATCAAAGCTACATCTATACATGATATTTATTCTGAGAACTACTTCTTCAGAATATCTATCCCATTCTGAATATCTCTTCAGAAGAAATAAAAACAGAAAAAAACAAAAAACCAAAAAACAGTAATTTCACAGACAACACGATATTTTAAAAGCAGGTCCAACATTAACTTAGATACACTCTTCTCCCTTGCAAGTCCTGCTTGATATTTCATAAAGTCATTATGTAGCATACCAAGAGGATAGTGAGTAGAAAGCATGTGCTGCATAAGAATTATCTCTGTGATGCCCTTCTGAAAATATTGGAAAAGTAAAAGAGAGCCAGAACACTTTTTTTTTTTTTTTTTTTTTTCCTTCCCCCAGAAATGCTTGTTTTCTGCATTAGGATGATGCATCTCCTGACTGTTTGGCATGATGATCTCTCAACAGGAAATACTTTTGCCATGGGATCATATCACAAAGCCTGTGGTCTTAAATTAGCTAGGGTCTACCCAATAATGAAACTTACTGCTACGGATCTACATCTCTCTGTTAAAAGGCTACAAAAAATACCAGGTTGCTTCAGATTAACATTATTTCAGTAATGCTAAATCTTTTTTTTTTTTTTTTCCTGTAAGCAGAACATAAGCATTATGTTCAGGAATGTCTGCTTATCAACATCAG